GCACTGACCTCTTTTTCCTTAGACTGTCCAGTGAAAAGATGACCACAGCCAACACAGTAATAGCTGTCCTGTGTGAATGAATCAAAATTATACCTATTTTTGTCAGATAGGCAAAAGGATACATTTTTTGGTGTGCCACCGAATTTTCATAATTAGCTTATATGTGCCATCAGATGAAAAAGGTTGAAAAATCACTGTATTAAATCAATGATATAGGAAGTAGTTCTTGAGTACTTAGTTAGCCCTACTATTATGTCAGGTAATACCAATTTTTAAGGAAGCTTAGATCTAAACTGATCATAAGTAGAGTTATAAATATTTATATAAAGGTGTGAACTTTAATCATCTGCTAATTATAAACATATATACTTGTATATAGCATATATATATATACATTTTGAGTTTTATTTACCATTAAAAATTAATAATACCTAGCTTATAGTGCTTTATAAAAACATGGATGATAACACAAAAATAAGCAGTTCAGAATTATAATTAAAATTACTTTCCATTGAAAAATAATTGCACCTTCAATAACTAAACGGTTAAAGAGTGTAATACACATAGAAAATAGAATACTACATACTAATAAAAAAATAAATGAATTATTGAAACATTCAACAATTTGGATGAATCTTATGGGCATTATGTTGAGTAAAAAAAGCCAGTCTCAAAAGGCTACGTATTGTTGTATTAGGTTGGCCAAAAATTCCATTTAGTTTTTTTCCGTAAAAGACACATTTTTCGTTATCGCCAGTAACTTTATTGATTTGGATTTTTAGTATGTCAACTATCTCCTGTGTTGACTGTATAATGTTGATTGTTCTCAATTAATGTCTTGATTTGATCACTGTCAACTTCAATCGGTCTACCCAACCAAGGGCTACTAGAGCCATATTACAGAAAAAAACGGAATGAATTTTTTGGCCAACTCAGTATGAGTCCATCTAGATAAAATCCACAAAATGATGAAGCTGCAGATATGGAGAACAGATTATCAATTACCAGCATTTAGAAATGTTGGGTACGCCCTGGCTGGTGTAGCTCAGTGGATTGAGCGCGGGCCTGCGAACCACACGATCGAGGTTCGATTCCCAGTCAGGGCACATGCCTGGGTTGCAGGCCGGTTCCCTGCAGGCCAGTTCCCAGCAGGGGGCGCACAAAAGGCAACCATACATTGATGTTTCTCTCCCTCTCTCCTTCCTCCCCTTCTCCTCTAAAGATAAATAAATAATAAAATATTTAAAAAAAAAAAAAAAGAAATGTTGGGTAGATATGACTAGCAAGGGGTAGCATGAAAAAGACCTTTGTGGTAAAGGAATAGTTCTGTATCTTCATTTCAGTGTTAGTTACATAAACCTACACATTTGATAAAATGGCATAGAACTATATACATACATTGTATCAATGTCAATTTTCTGTTTTTGATATTATAGTTCTATATAAGGTAGGACCATGGAAAACTGGGTAAAGAGTAAATGGAACTCTGTGTATTATTTTTGCAATTTCCTCTGACTGTAATTATTTTGAAATACAAAGTGAAGCCCTGACCAGTGTGGCTCAATTGTTCAAGCATTGTCCCACAAACCGAAAGGCTGCTAGTTCAATTCCCAATCAGGGCACACGTCTGAGTTGTGGGATGGTCCCTGGTTGAGGCATGTGAAAGAAGCAACCGATTGATGTTTCTTTCACACATCGATGTTTCTCTGTCTTTCCCTCCCTTCCGCTTTCTCTAAAAGTAAATAAATAAAATCTTTTCTTTTTTAAAATAAAGTGAAAAAAGGCAGAAGTAAAAACAGCAGTTCCATTTATTTTTTTAATTTTAAATATTTTATTTATTTATTTTTAGAGAGAGGAGAGGGGAAGGGAAGAATTTATACCCTAAGAAATTCCTGCAAACATGCATCAAGAAACATGTATAAGAATGATCAGAGCATCAATGTGTATAGCAGCAAAATAAACATAATAAGAAAAACAACCAAACATCCATCGGCAGGAAAATAACTTCTCAATGGGCAGGTTTCAGCTCAAATGTCACTTCCTTAGGCCTTCTCCAACCTCTATTTAAAACACACACATACACACACTCGGTCATTCTCTTCTTTCATATCAAGACACAGCAATCACTTATTATCTGAAATCAATGCACTTGTTTCAAGCTATGTCTTCTCCCCTCTAGACAGTAAATTCCATGAAGAGAACATCGTGGCTCTTCTTACTTATACCTCTAGGCCTTGGCACTTAGTAACACTGAAAATCAAAAGGAGAAAAAGAAATTAAAAGAGGGGGAAGGACGAGGTGGTTGAAGGAGAGGCCACTGAGCTCTCAGATAAAAGGGAGCCACGTCAGAGAACCTACACACACAGAATGGAGCAACTCCATATGTGAAAGGTATGGTCATGGTTTGAGGAAGGACTGGAGAACAACAAAAAGAAAAGATTTGGGGAGAAAATCTGGAGGATACTGAGATTCTGTAAGTGTTTCCCCTTCCATCCTGGCTGGTGTGGTTCAGTTGGTTGGAGAGTAATTCCCTGAACGGACACGTTACAGGGTTTGATTCCCAGTCAGCAGCATACCCAGGTTGCAGGCTCAATTCCAGGAGAGACATGTACAGGAAGACAGCCAATCAATGTCTCTCTCTCTCCTCTTCCTCCCTCTTTCTCTCTCCCCTTCTCCCTTCCTCTCTCTAAAGCAATGAAAAAAAAAAGTGTCCTCGGGTGAGAATAAAAATACATAAAGTGTTTCCCTTCTAGCTTAAGCTCTTGCCCCACTCCTGATAGACTTCATCAGTTGGGGGGGGGGGGAGACTGCAGGGAATAAGATATTCCCATTGGAAGACAGTGGAAAATAACGTTCATCTTCATTGAAATGTGCCTTGTCAACTTTGCTTTTCCCATAAAATACAGGATGACAATTGTTATGGGCTTAATTGTATGCTCCCAAAATTCATGTTGAAGTCCTAACCTCCCCACCCCACCCCCAGTGTCTCAGAGTATGACTGTACTTGGAGACAGGATGTTTAAGGAATTAATCAGGGTAAAATGAAGTCCTATAGACAGGCCCTAATTCACTGTGACTAGTATCCTTATTAAGAGATTAGGGCACAGACATGATTGCACACAGAGAAACGATCACATAAAGACACAGCAAGGGTACAAACTTCTGTAAGCCAAGGCCAGACCTGTCAGGAAATAAATTTCTATTGTTTGGGGTTTTTTTTGTAAGAGTTCATTTATTTTTAGACAGGGTGGAGGGAGGAAGATAGGGAAAGAAATATCAATGTGCGGTTGCCTCACAGGCCCTCCTACTGGGGACCTGGACCACAACCCAGGCATGTGCCCTGCCTGGAAATCAAACTGGAAACCCTTTAGTTTGTAGGCTGGCATTTAATCCACTGAGCCACACCAGCCAGGGCAAATTCCTGTTGTTTAAACTACCCAGTCTATGATATTATGGCAGCCTTGGATTACTAATACACCAATCTAAATGAAAAGTATTTTGCCTAGAGTTGCTTCATTCTGAAGCAAAATTTTCCTGTGCTTCCCTAAGCCCCATAAATCAAAATTTATTAAGTAAAACCTGTCATACTAAAAATTATTGACATTTTTAATATTATTTATTTACCTATTTTTAGAGAGGGAGAGAAACATCAATGTGCGGTTGCCTCTCACATGCCCCACACTGGGGACCTGGCCTGCAACCCAGGCATGTGCCCTGACTGGGAATCGAATCAGCAACCCTTTGGTTTGCAGGCCCACACTCAATCCACTGAACCACACCAGCCAGGGCAAATTTCTGTTGTTTTAGCTACCCAGTCTGTGATCTTTTGCTATGGAAGCCCTGGATAACTAATCTAAATGAAAAGTACATCACACCCTGGCTGGTGTGGCTCAGTGGACTGAGTGCAGGCCTGCGAACCAAAGGGTAACCAGTTCAATTCCCAGTCAGGGCACATGCCTGGCTTGTGGATTCAGTCCTTTGTTGGGGTGTGTGCGGGAAGCAGCCGATTGATGTTTTTCTCCCTCCCTTCTCCTCTGGAATCAATAAAAGAAAAATTTAGCCTGCGAACCAGAGAATCGCGGTTCGATTCCCAGTCAGGGCACATACCAGGGTTGCAGGCCGGTTCCCTGCAGGCCAGTTCCCAGCAGGGGATGCACAAAAGGCAACCATACATTGATGTCTCTCTCCCTCTCTCCTTCCTTTCCTCTCTAAAGATAAATAAAATCTTAAAAAAAAATTTATAGTTGACACAAGGGGCAACAAGAGGATTTTTAAGTCCAAGGCTGGAGGGTGAAGCTGGTCTTCCTCATTACAAATTTCTATTTCACTATGTTAATTCATTAGGTTTAATTTATTTTATTGTTTCTAGAGTACAGAGGAAGGGGTGAGGAGAAAGAGAATCAATCTGTTGTTCCACCTATTTATGCATTCATTGGTTGATTCTTGTATGTGCCCTGTGGATTGAACCCACAACCTCCATGTACCCAGATGATGCTCTAACCAACTAAGCCACCCAGCCAGGGCTGTGAAATTTAGAATATTAGTAAGCACAGTCCTTTTAAGGAAAGACCTACATTAATTACTCAAGGCACCCAGCAATACAAACTCCATGCCATTCTAATAGTCGCTAAATACTGTCACTCCATCCTATGGGGTAAAAGAGAAATAAAGCTATTTCACCTGGCTGGTGTAGCTCAGTGGATTGAGCCTGTGAACCAGACAATCGCGGTTCAATTCCCAGTCAGGGCACATGCCTGGGCTGCAGGCCGGTTCCCTGCAGGCCAGTTCCCGGCAGGGGACGGATGAAGGCAACCACACATTGATGTTTCTCTCCCTCTCTCCTTCCCTTCCCCTCTAAAGATAAACAAATAAAATCTTTAAAAAAAAAAAAGATATTTCTAATAGCAAAACCAACAGACAGAAGTCAGGAAACAGTTTCTAGCTTATTTGAACCAAAAGTATATCTAAAATAAAAAATAAAAACAATAATCTGAAAGAGGTTACTTATAACTCCAGAACATTTTAATTCTAAAGAGCTTTAATAAATAAAAAGCCCCAAGTTTCCAATGGCCACAAAAAGGGAATGAATAATTAGTCCCAATAGAGCTGAGACTAGTTTTTTTTAGAGAAGGGGGAGGGATGAAGGTTGGTAACCATTCTCTTACAAAAAGAATAAAACACTGCTTCTCCAACCACTCAGAATGTCACTTGCTATGAATCGGCAAGAGGAAAATAACTGTCCACATTTGCCTTATTTACAGTATTGGGCAATGAAATGCCCACTTAGCTATTTAGGAATGGCTTGCTAAAACGTTGAAAAAGTGAAAGACTTCGTCCTTGTCATAGACTGCCACTTCGGTGGAACACTCGGTGCACATAACCGGGTGATAGATTTCTTCCACTCCTGTCTCTGCCTGCTCTGGAGCATCCTCACGGTCAGACCGCATCTTCTTACGGCCTCGCTTTTTCTTCTTATCCTCTGGGGTTTTGTATCTTAGAACCTCCTCTTTGTTGACAGTGCAATTCATCACAAACATTGCTCTATACTGAGTTTTGTATGATTCATGCCTAAAAGAAATAAAATGGAGAATGTCTGTTTATGTTCTATTGTAATAATTATCCACTTAGATAAAATTTGAGAACACCAAAAACTTACTGAAATACCAACCAAAGTAAAGACATGAGAACAAAATGGGAAATTTACGGAAATGTTATGAGGTATTTTTTTAAGATTTTATTTATTTTTAGAGAGAGGAGGAGAGAAACATCAATGTATGGCTGACTCTCATGCGCCCCCTACTGGGGACCTTGCCTGTAATCCAGGCATGTGACTGGGAATTGAACCGGCAACCCTTTGGTTCGCAGGCCTGTGCTCAATCCACTGAGCTACACCAGCCAGGGCAAGTTATTTTAAGAATAGGAAGAACTTCTGCCCTGACTCATCTGGCTCAATCGGTTGGTTACTGTCCCACAAAGCAAAAGGTCAATGGTCTGATTCCCAGTCAGGACACATGCCTGGAACGCAGGTTCAGTCCCTGGTCGGGTCACATGCAAAAAGCAACAAATCAGTGTTTCTCTCTTGCACCAGTGTTTCCCTCTCTCTCTCTCCCTTCCCCTCTAAAAACAAATAAAGTATTTTTTTAAATAGTTAATGCTTCCTTTTTCTTCTCATAAGTTTAATATTTTCCTACTTCTTTTTCTAGTTAGTGAATTGTTTTGCTTTATTTTTCTTTAAACTTCATGTAACAGAAATGTCTTTGTGGCTAACAACAGTGAACTCCAGTTATGCCTTCATTAGTCCCAAATGCTGATCTCCACCATCACCTCCACACCAGTAACTTAAGACTGTGCAAGCTGGTGCTTCTCCAGGCAAGACTATAAAATTCTGTTTATATTCCACTGAATTGGAGTTCTGTATTAATGTGGAACACAATTTTTACCAAGGAAAATTTCTACTGTTAGATCTGAAGCAATTTCTTTTGAGTATAGGAACCCTGTAACATGGTTTAATTTGAAAGAAACAACTTAAATACATTTCACCTTCATTTCATAAACATATTCTAGGTGTCAATTAAGATACAAAAAGTTTAAGCGTTCATATGGGAAGTAGATAAATTAATTGTTGCACATCAGAAACCTCTAGCTAGCCAATAAGAATTCCATCAAACTACTAACATATCCACCACTACATCACTTAGTACCAGCTAACTTGACTCAAAACATGGACTAAGCTACGCATTTGAAAGGCCACCAAAAAAGAAAAAGGTAGAAAGGATATAGTCAACCCTCCATATCTACCAGTTTTGCATCCACAGATTCAATCAATCACAGAGAGAAAATGGTATTTTTTGATCTACACTCAGAAGTCCATGCCAAGGGTCAGATATATGCACTGTTCTCTGCCATTGTGTAATACAAGGGACGTGAGCATCCATAGATTTTGGTACCTGCTGTGGGGCAGGAGGTGGGGGACTGTCCTAGAACCAGTTCCCCTCTGATACCAAGGGATAACTATATTTGGATTAATAGAATGAAGAAGAAAAAAATAAAACATGATCATCTCCACTGATGAAGAAAAAGCATTTGACAAAATTCAACATGCTTTCATGATAAAAACACCCAATAAACTAGGAATAGAAGAAAAATTCCTCAATACATTAAATGCTATATATGAAAAGCCCAGAGCCAGCACCATACTTACTGATCAAAGACTGAAAACTTTTCCTCTAAGATCAGCAAAAAGACAAAAATATCTACTTTCACCACTTCCATTCAACAAACTATTGAAAGTTCTAATCAGCCCTGGCTGATATAGCTCAGTGGGTTGAGCGCAGGCCTGCAAACCACACAATCTCGGTTCGATTCCCAGTCAGGGCACATACCTGGGTTGCAGGTCAGTTCCCAGCAGGGGACTCACGAGAGGCAACCACACATTGATATTTCTCTCCTTCTCTCTTTCCCTTCCCCTCTAAAGATAAATAAGTAAAATCTTTTAAAAAAAAAAGTTCTAATCAAAACAATAAGGTAAGAAAAAGAAATAAAAGCCATCCAAATCAGAAAGGAAGTAAAATTACCCCTAGCTGGTGTGGCTCAGTTGGCTGGACCATCTTTCCATAAACCAAAAGGCCACAGGTTTTTGATTCCCTGTCAAGGCTGAGGGTTCCATTCCCAGTCAGGCCCTTGACAGAGGCAACCAGTGATGTTTGTCTCTCACATCATATTTCTCTGCCTCTCTCTCACCTTCCCTTCCCCTCTCTCTCAAATCAACAAGCACGGTGAGGAGAAAGAAGGAAGAAGGGAGGGAGGGAGGATAAAAAGGGAAGGAGGATGAATGAGGGAAGGGTGGGTAAAGGATGGGGGAGGGAAAGAAGGAATAAAAATGATCTTTGTTGACAGATGATGTGATCTTACATGTACATTGGGTTGGCCAGAAAGTTCACTTGGTTTCTTCTCTGTAACATGGCTCTAGTACCACTTGGTTGTCTTTAACTTCATTTGAAACAATTTTCTTAGACTGTATTGTAACAGCTGTAATATCAGTGTGCATTTTTTAAAAATTACAAAAATTGGTGAATTTCTGGGTAGCCATTTTAATATAGAAAATATGGAACATTTTCAGATCATGCTTTATTATTTCAAGAAAGGTAAAAATGAACTGAAACACACATAAAAAAGATCTATGTAGTGTGTGGAGAAGGTGCTGTGACTAATCAAACATGTCTAAAGTGGTTTACAAAGATTCATACTGGAGACTTCTCTCTGCACAATACTCCATGGCTGGGTAGACCAGTAGAAGTTGACAGCAATCAAATCAACACATTAATTAAGAACAATCAACATTATACTATGTGGGAGAGAGCTGACATACTCAAAATATCCAAATCAATAAAATTAACTGCCCTGGCTGGTGTGGCTCAGTGAATTGAGGACTGGCTTGCCAACCAAAGGGTTGCTGATTTGATTCCCAGTCAGGGCACATGCCTGGGTTTACAGGCCAGGTTCCCCGGTGCAGGGTGTGCGAGGGACAAACCACACATTGATGTTTCTCTCCCTGTCTTTCTCCCCCACTTCCTCTCTGTCTAAAAATAAATAAACAAACAAATAAATAAAAATTGACTGTTAAAAATGAAAAATGTATCTTTTATTTTACAGGAAAATACAGACTTTTTGACCAACCCAACAGAAAACTGTAATGTTTACAAAGAAAAATTATTAGCAATAATAAATTAATTCAGCAGAGTCAAGGGATACAAAATGAACACACAAAAATCTGCTGTATTTCTATACACTGACAAGGAACAACCCCCCAAAAATGCATAAAAGAGATCACCAGAGGCTGGGGCAGTGGGGATGAAGAATGAGGGTTTATTGCCTAATGGCTACAGAGGTTGTGTTTGAAAACGTTCTGGAAAAAAAATTCTGGAAACAGACAGTGGTGATGGTTGCACAATACATGTGAATGTTGTGAATGTCACCAAATTGTACACCTAAAATGATTACAACAGAAAACAAGATAAGAGCGTCACTGTTACCACTCCTAACCAATATGGAACTGGAAATCCAAGCCAGAGCAATCAGGCAAGAAAAGAAATAAAAGTCAGAGACTTCTGCCAAGATGGAGGTGTAGGTGGAAGCACTGCACCTTCTCCCACAACCAAGTTTAAAAACAACAAAGTTTTAGCAACAAAAACGCAGACAAACCACAGAAAATTGAACTACACGGAACTCTTGACAACAATGAAACCTTCAGGCAAACCGGTAAGAGGGGCAGAGCCAGCAGCAGAGCGGGGTCAGGCAGAAAAGACCCACCAGACCGACCCAGGCCCAGGTGTGCAACCCAGGTGCGCCAGCAGCCATGGCAGATCCCACGTGTGGAGAAGCAGGCGGACCCACTGAGGGCTGATCACAGTCACACATTCGCGCGCAGATAAACCGGTGAAGGAGCTAGCAGTGAGACGAACCACACAGGCCCCAGCGGCAGGAAGCGGCAGAGGGAACTGCCACTGTCCCTCTCTGACCCCGCCCCCACTTACAGAGTCACAAACCAGTGACCTGAGTAGCCCCGTCCTGGTGAACAACTAAGGCTCTGCTCCTCACGCCTAACAGGCATGAACAGATCGAAACATGGCACAAGAACAACTCAGAGCCCCAGAGCCAATAAATCTAAGCAATGAAGAAATAGCCAAACTTTCAGATGCACAGTTCAAAACACTGGTGATCAGGATGCTCACAGAACTGGTTGATTTTAGTCACAAATTAGAGGAACATATGAAGGCTAAACTAATTGAAATGAATGGAAATGCAAAGGAAACCAATAATAATGGAAAGGAAACTGGGACTCCATTGGGAGTGGACCAGAAGGAAGAAAAAAATGACCAAAGAGAAAAGGATGAAGAAACAAGAATTCAAAAAAATGAGGAGAGGCTTAGAAACCTTCGGGACATCTTTGAACTTTCCAACGTTCCAACATTCAAATTACAGGGGTACCAGAAGGGGAAGAGGAACAGCCACCAGTGGAAAACTTATTTGAACAAATAATAAAGGAGAACTTCCCCAATCTGGCAAAGGAAATAGACATCCAGGAAATCCAGGAAGCTCAGAGAGTCCCAAAGAAGTGGGACCCAAGAAGGAACACACCAAGGCACATCATAATTACATTAGCCAAAATGAAAATGAAGGAGAGAATCCTAGAAGCAGCAAGAGATAAGGGGACAGTCACCTACAAAGGAGTTCCCATCAGACTGTCAGCTGATTTCTCAAAAGAGACCTTACAGGCAAGAAGGGGCTGGAAAGAAGTATTCCAAGTCAAGAAATCCAAAGACCTACATCCAAGATTGATCTATCCAGCAAAGCTTTCATTTAGAATGGAAGGACAGATAAAGTGCTTCTCAGATAAGATTAAATTCAAGGAGTTCATCATCACCAAGCCCTTATTATATGAAATGTTAAAGGGACTTACCTAAGAAAAAGAAGATAAAAAAGATGAACAGTGAAAGGACAGCAAACTCACAGTTATTAACAACCACACCTAAAACAAAAGCAAACTAAGAGGACAGCTAGATCAGGAGCAGAACCATAGAAATGAAGATCTCAAGGAGGGTTAGCAACAGGGGAGTGGGAGGAGGAGAAGGGGGGCGAAGGTACAGAGACTAAGTAGCATAGATGGTAGGTAGAAAATAGATGGGGGGGGCAAGAATAGTATGGGAAATATGGAATCTAAAGAACTTGAGACACATGGTCATAAACTAAAGGGGGGAATGGTGGGGGAGGGGATGTGCAGGGTGGAGGGGAATGAAGGGGGGAAATAGAACTGTAATGGCATAATTAATAAAATATATTTAAAAAAATAAAAATAAAAAGATAAAAGTTATCCAAATTGGAAAGGAAGAAGTAAAATTATCTGTTTGCAAATGACATGATCATGTATATATAAAATTCTGAAGATTTCACCAAAAACAATGTTATAATAAATGAATTCAGTAAAGTTGCAGGACACACAAATCAATACACAAAAATCTGTTGTTTCAGTAACTATCTGAAAAAAAAATTAAGAAAACAATTCTGTTCACAGTAGCATCAACAATAAAATACTTAGGAATAAATTTAACCAAAGAGGTAGAAGACCTATACACTGAAAACTATAATACAATGATAGAAAAAATTGAAAAAAAAAAACCAAAAGATGGAATTATACCCTGTGTTCATGGTATGTCCATACCACCCAACGCCATCTATAGAGTCAATGCAATCTCTATCAAAATTCTAATGGCATTTTTCACAATAATAGAAAAAATTCTAAAATTTACACAGAACTACAAAAGACCCCAAATACTCAAAACGATATTGAGAAAGAAGAACAAAGCTGCAGGCATCATAGTTCCCTGATTTCAAACTATAATACAAGGCTAGAGGGTATGGGAATGGCATAAAAACAGACTCATACATCAACAGAACAGAACTGAGCAAGAGCCCGGAAGTAAACCCTCAACACATAACTTAATACTTGACAAAGAAGCCAAGAATATTTTATGTGGAAAAGACAGTCTGGAGGTTCACATGCAAATGAATGAAACTGAACCCCTATCATACACCACTCACAAAAATTAATTTTAAATGGACTAAAGACTTAAATGTAACGCCTGAAATTGTAAAATTCCTAGAATAGGAGAAAAGCTCCTTGACATTGGTCTTAGAAATGTTTTCTGAATATAACACCAAAAGCATAAGAAACAAAAGCAAAAATAAACAAGTGAGACTACATCAGACTTTTTAAAAAGCTTCTATACAGCAAAGAAACAATCAAGGCACATGCCTGGGTTGCAGGTTTGGTCCCCAGCTGGGAAGTGTATGAGAGGCAACTGATCAATGTTTCTCTCCCTCTCTCTCTTCCTCCCCCTCTCTCTAAAAGTAAATAAATAAAATCTTAAAAAAAATAAAGAAATAATATCACTAACTCAAAGAGATATCTGCATCCCCACCACAGCCAGGCAGGTGATCAGGGTCAAAATGAAGTCATAAATCATATCAATAAATTGTGCCCTTGATATAATATAAAAATGACACTTTGTGGTCTTCCCCCAAAACCCTACTGCAACATTTATTTACAAGAGCCAAGACATGGAAACAATCTAAGTATCCATCAATAGATGAATGGAGATGAATGGATAAAACAATCAAGTAAATACACACAATGAAATAGTATTCAGCCATTAAAAACAAAAGAAAACCCTATGTTGCCATTTGTGACAACATAGAGGGCATCATGCAAAGTGAAATAAACCAGACACAGAAAGACAAATACTGTATGATTTCACTTAAATGTGGAATCTAAAAAAACTGAACTCATAGAAACAGAGGAGAGATTGGTGGGAAAGGGTGGAAGGGTGAAAAATATCAAAGGGTACAAACTTCCAGGTATAAGATGAGCAAGTTCTGGAAATGTAACATATAGCATGATGACTGTAGTTAACAATACTGTACTGCATTCTTACAAGTATTAAATAGTTAGAGGTAGATCTTAAGTTCTTATTAAAAAAAAGTAATTATGTGAGGTGATGGATATGTTAACTAACCTTATTGTAGTACTTTTGTAATATATTCACATATCAAAGCACATTATACACATCAAACTTACACAATGTTAATCATATCTAAGTCAAAAAAGCTGAGAAAAAAATTTAAATTAAAAAAAATTTAAATGGTTTAGTTGACAATAAACTGAATAGTCGAATGAAGTATTCTTCAACAGCAAATTTTTATAATGGTTAAAATAGAAAATTTTCTGTTACATGTATTTTATCACAATTTAAAAAAAAGTATATTTGAGGGATATCATTCCACAACACACAGAGAAGTTTCACTGAATCCTTGTCAATACTGGCAAGTGCTTTACTTTAAACTACTTGTGACAGAATCTACATATAAAAAATTATTTGTATAAAGATCAGCCATGTAGCACCAAGGATATATGGGATCATAACCTTATCAGAATTCCTAAGTACCTCAAAAATCTACTTCTGACTTTTAAAAAGGCCCACCACGGCCCTGGCTGGGTTGGTTACAGTGCCATTCTGATACTCCAAGGTTGTGGGTTTGATCTCTGGTCAGGGCACATACAAGAATCAATCAATGAATGCATCAAGAAGTGGAACAACAAATCAATGTTTCTCTCTCTTTCTAAAAAAAATCAACAAATTTTTTAAAACATGAGAGAAATCTGTTTATAAATAAATTAAATAAATAAATAGGCCCACCAAGCCCTGACCAGTGAGGCTCCGTTGGTTGGAGTATCATTCCATAGACCAAAAGGTCGTGAGTTTGATTCCTGGTTGACACACATAGCCAGGTTGCCAGTCTGGTCCCCAGTCAGGGCAAGCATCTCCATTCAGGGTATGTACAAGAATGCAACCAATGTTTCTCTCACATCAATGTTTCCATTCTCTCTCTCTCTCACTCTCACTCTCTCTCTCTCAAAGCAAGGAAAAAATGTCCTTAGGTGAGGATTTTGGGAAAAAAAAAAAAAGCCCACCAAGTTGGTTCTTTTTTGTTGTTTTGTGTGTATGTGTATACTGTTACCCTTTAGGTTACCTTTGGCAATCTAGACACAACGTGGTCATGCAGGCAGGGCAGTTCAAGACAGCATCACTATTTGGAACAGGCTGTTGTTGATGTGCCCTCTGTCTTCCAAAACCATGGTAGCTACAACAGAAAAAGAAAGTGCGGGGGGAGACACATTAAAGCCAAATCTTGATTTCTCATGCTACTCTCCAATAAAAGTAATCAGTAATCCTTAGGAAAATGGTTGATTCTAGAAATAGAGCATACAAGATGAACCTGGAGCAATTTGTGGTGTCAGAAAGTAAAGATGTGCTGAGAAAAAAAACAAAACAAAACAATGAAGTAGGTATGCAAACAGGCACAGAAGTCAAACAAATGTGTCCTCAATGACTAAAGCTAAAACAATTAGAACAACAAAATAAAGGACTGTATTATAACCCAAAGAATAAATACTCATGAATCCATGCTGATACAAGTGACTGAGCAAATAAATGGGGGAGAAAAGACAAATCCTGTACAAAAGAATTAGAAATAATTTATGAATATATTCTCCCTCATAACTCCCCACTCCTTAAATCTGGGAGTTATGAGGGAGAATATATTCTCCCTATGTACAGACTCCTTAAGTCTGCACATAGTGACTTCCTTCCAAAAAGGACAGTATGAAAAGAAGGGGAAAGGGTAACGTTATAGAAGAGAAACCTGACAAACACTACTTCACCAAGGTGACCAAAGTCAACCAACACTTATAGTCATAAATCATGTTGATAGTATGTGCCCTTGTTACAATGTGATAAAAATGTCACTGTGCCTCTCTTTGGTCTTCCTGCCAAAAACTGATAATCCCTGTCTAATTACAACAGAAACATCAGACAAATTTCAATTAGTGAAGCCTCCCATGATACAGTCATGTACCACATAACAATGTTTCAGTCAATGACAGAACACGTATACAATGTGTTCCATGGATTATAATAGAGCTGACCAATTCCTATCACCTAGTGACACTGTAGCCATGGTTACATCACAGCACAATATATTACTCACAAGTTTGTAGTTATGCTGCTATAAACAAACCCATTGTGTTGACAGTCATATAAACATCTAGTGCATACAATTATGTTCAGAACATAATACTTGATAATAATAATAAGTAGCTATGTTACTGGGTTATGTATTTACTATATACTTTTATCAGTAGTTTAAAGTTATTCTTTCTACTTATAAAAATAAAATGCTGTGAAACAGTATACTGTGTTATGCTGGCAGCAGCTTTATGCATTTTGTGTTTACCAAGTCTCTTTTCTTTTTTATTAAATTTATTGGGGTGACGTTGGTTAATAAAATTATATAGGTTTCAAGTGTACAATTCCATGATACATCATCTGTATATTGCATTGTGTGCCTACCACCCAAAGTCAAATCTTCTCCTGTCACAATATATTTGATCCCTGCCCTGACTGGTTTGGCTCAGTGAGTTGGGCATCATCCTGCAAACCAAAAGGTCACAAAAGGTCACCAGTTCTATTCCCAGTCAGGGTATGTGCCTGGTTTGTGGGTTTGGTCCCCGGCTGGGGGCATGCAAGAGGCAACCAATCAATGCTTCTCTTGCACATTGATGTTTCTCTCCCTTCCCCTCTAAAAATAAATAAAGTCTTTAAAGTCTATTTGACCATCTTTACCCATCCTTCTGGTAATCACCATCCTGTCTATGCCTATGAGTTTTTGTTTGTTTGTCTTGTTTATTGATTTGTTTCATGTTTAGCAAGTCTCTTAATAGCATCCTTTTCTCTTATGCTTGATTTAATGTCATGTTGTTTTGCACATTTAGTGTAGCCTAAGTGTACAGTGTTCATATAGTTTACAGGAATGTCCTAGGCCTTCACGTTCACTCACCAGTCTCTCACTGACTCTCCCAGAGCAACTTCCAGTCTTGCAAGCTCCATTCATGTGTAATAAGTGCCTATACAAGTGTACTATTTTATCTTTTATACCGTATTTTTACTGTACCTTTTCTATGTTTAAATATGTTTAGCTACATAAATATTTACATTGTGTTATAACTGTCTACAGTATTCAGCAAGTAACATGCTGTACAGGTTTGTAACCTAGAAGCAATAGGCTAGACTATATAGCCTAAATGTACAGAAGGCTATACACCATCTAGGTTTGTGTAAATTCACTTCATGACATTCACACACGACAAAAATCACCTAACAATGTATTTCTCAGAACGTATCTCTGTCATTAAGTGGCACATGACTATACTTGACCATTGCTCCTCAAAACTGTTAAGGTCATCAAAACCAACAAAAGTCAGCCCTGACCAGTGTGGTTCAGTTGTTTGGATGTCATCCTGCAAAAGATCGCAGGTTCAATTCCCAGTCAGGGCACATGCCTGGGTTATGGGCCAGGTCCCCAGGAGGGGGTACACATGATGCAATCACACACTGATGTTTCTCTCCCTCTCTTTCTCCCTCCCTTCCCACTCTCTAAAAATAAATAAATAGAACCTTAAAAAAAAAGAAATTCTCTATTGTATCAGCTCGATTTTTCTGGAAATCTAAAACTATTCTAAAAAGTAAAGTCTATTAATTTTTAAAAACACAGTAAAGCCACATTTAAAAAGAAGCAAGTAAGATCTAAGTGCCTCAGGATTTTTGTCTGTTTTGTTTGCTGTTGTATTTTGAGAGTCAAGAACATTGTCTGGCTAACAGTAAGTACTCAATAAATATTTGCTGATTGAAAGAATAAAGCATGGTGCCCTGGCTGGTGTAGCTCAGTGGATTGAGGCTCGCAGTGCGAGCCTGAGAACCAAAGGATTGTGGTTTGATCCCCAGTCAGGGCACATGCCTGGATTGCAGGCCAGTTCCCAGCAGGGGACACACAAGAGGCAGCCATACACTGATATTTCTCTCCCTCTCTCCTTCCCTTCCCCTCTAAAGATAAATAAGTAAAATCTTTAAAAAAAAAAGAAAGACTAAAGCATGGATCTACTTATGAAGACACTAAAGTATAAAAGCCTGTATTATTTTATTTTATTTACTTTAAAGAGAGGGAGAAAGAGAAGGAGAGAAACATGAATGTGTGACAGAAATATCGATCTGTTACCTCTCACCCTCCCCCAACTGGGGACATCACCCACAACCCAGGTATGTGCCCTAACTGAAAACTGAACCTGCGACCTTTCGGTTCATGGGCCAGCGCTAATCTACTGAGCCACATCAGCCAGGGCTAAAGGATATATTCTTAAAAGGGGCTTATGGTAAACTCCTGAAAAGTGAACAACAAAAGGCAAGTAGCTCAGCTGGTTACAGCGTTATCCCAAAACCCCAAGGTTGTGGGTTGGATCACCAGTCAAGGCACACACAATAATCAACCAATGAATGCATCAGTAAGTGGAACAACAAATCAATGTTTGTTTCTTCTCTCTCTCTCAAATCAAGAAATAAATAAATAACTTTAAAGCAAATCTTTTGATATTAACTTCCTAAACTTTTTAAATGTTTATGGTGAAAAATTCTGAAAACATGTGGCCTGTATTTTATTCCTTTTTTTAAATTTGTTTCAATTACCATTTATCCCCCTTATACCCTTTTCTACCTCCTCCCTATTTTCTTCTTAAAAGTTTAGCAAATTTCAAAACACAAACCTCAAGAAAGTAACTTTTTCATTCAATAGACACTTACTGAGGGCCAAATTTAACAATGTACAAGATGCCTGGGATACAAGCATTGAATAAGATCACTGCCCTCATGGTGCTTACAATGCAGGGAATTCATTATTTGAAGGTGGCTTCTGTGGACTTACAAAGCAACTACCACTTAATGCAGAAATGTGAATAAGTCAAAAAATTGTTATTTCTTCTAAAAATCATATAGCGATGAAAGATATTCCATCTTTCTTCACTGACAAATTCTGTCACCAGAATCAGGAGCGAGACTGTAAACTCCTTGACTATCTATAGATCTCTCACATGTTCATTTCACACTGTGACCCTGGGTTAGTATAGCTCAGTGGATTGAGCACAGGCCTGCAAACCAAAGGGCTGCCAGTTCTACTCCCAATTAGGGCACATGCATGGGTTGCAGGCCATGTCCCCAGTAGGGGGTGTGTAAGAGGCAACCACACATTGATGTTTCCCTCCTCTTCCTCCTTCCCTTCCCCTCTCTCTAAAAATAAATACATAAAACCTTTAAAAATTACAAATCCCATGCATATTCTTTTTAAAAATTGTTTTTTAAATGTTCATTTCACACTGTGGGTGATCAAAAAACATTCATTAAATAAATGTAAGAGGCAGGTGGATGAAGTGGTATGCATGGGTGAAACAAACAAACAAAAAAAGATAAAATGGAAGAATAAAGGCTGAAAGGTGGTATATGAAGACCTACACATCAAAATACATCTGGACTTGAAAAATACAGATTCCTGGACTCCACCTTACCTGAATCAAAACCTCCTAGACTACAACTCAAGGGTTTGCATTTCATTCTTCCCAAGTGACTCTGAAGCACAGCCAGGTTAAGGAAGTACTATTTAATAGTGGAAAGTTGCCTAGTTTTTACTTTTTTGACGTACCAGCCTTTATAAAATCAAATATGAAAATGAGTACGGAGTTTTCCCTTAGGATGATGAAAATGGTTTGAAATTAATAAAAGTGTGAATATACTAACTGGCACTAAATTGTTCACATTTAAATGGTTAGTTTTATATGTGAATTTCACCTCAATTTTTAAAAATCCAATTTGTACAGAGTTAAAAAGAACAATTCAGATGTAGAACATAACATCCACACTTCTCCACATGAACTCTTAATCTCCAACTAGTTTTAATAAATTCAGCTTTGGTTCTTGAATAAAGAGACTGACTACAACAGTTGGAACTCAAAAGTTTTTAAAAGATCAACTGTCTGAATGAAATTTGCTTTATTTTCAAAATAAAGTACTCGGCAGTTTTTCCTCAAGCTTGTTTATGTCTGTACAAACATATACACATGCATTCAAAATATAAATGTGGTGAAAATTATATCTTAATCATTTTCTCTAAAGATTCTAAATATTAAATTTGAATTCTTACCCTCTTCTCCGTGCATCGACCCAGGCCTGATCTCTGTCATCTTTTTCAGGATCGTACAGTAATTCATCATTTGTTGGGATCCTGCGTTGTGTCTTCTTCTTTTTCTTGGTCACCTGTGCTAATTTTGAAAATGTTAAGGACATGGCTAAGTATTATGTCTAAAGTTCACACTTTTTTTTAATACAGAATGAAGAATCCAATTTCCTAAGCTACATATTTTTCCTATATTCCTTTAAAAATTTTTAACTATTTCTCCAAGTATAGTTCTTGTCCAATTAACAAAATGCGTTAAAATGAAGATGACCAAAGTGGCAAAACTTTTTTTCACCAAAAACTGGTATCTCAAGAGTTTAAATAATGAAAATTCAGAGTCCAAAAAAGGCTCCAGAAAGCAAGCTAAGAACAGAAACTATTTTTGATATCTAAAGTCTCCACAAGTTCCCATATATGAAATACTACTAAAATCCGAAGAAAATATTTCAAAAATGAATAAAAAAAAAACAACAAAAAACTATGGTCATCGCCCTGACTAGCTTGGCTCAGTGGGTTGAGCGTCATCCAGCAAACCGAAAGGTCCCAGGATCAATTCCAGGACAGGGCACATGCCTGGGTTATGGGCCAGGTCCCCACTTGGGGGAGTGTGAGAGGCAACCAACTGATGTTTCTTTGGCACACTGATATTTTTCTCCCTCTCTTTCTTCCTCCCTTCCCCTCCCTTTAAAAATAAATAAATAAAATCTTTAAAAAAAGAAAAAAACCTATGGTCATCCCCATATACTTGAACAGGTCAATATTTAATAATATATAAAATAATTTATTTACCATATAAACTTGTTATTTGTGTATTCCAGGGTAATTACTGATATAATTAAATTAGTTTTAGATTTTGTCAACATGTTCAACTGTGCTCAAATTTTGTATTAAATCAATGCTGAAGAATAGAGGGGCTTCTTTTTTAAAAAAAAAGCAAGAAGTAAGGGCAAATTATGCAAGGGGTAAAACTACAGAAACTATCTGCAGGTGTGAAAGCAAACGCTGCTGCGCAAAGGACCCTGAAGGAGGAGGGAGGCAGCGAGTTGGGACAGACTCTCCCTCTCTCCGCTGGTGCCTGTGCAGTGCCACTGTTGGTCCCATGTCCTCACATGTGTGCATTCCCATCTGTTCTTTTACTTTTCTTGTAGTAAAACTGGTACACAAGGTGATATATATTTCAGGTGTACAATATTATAATTCAGTATTTGCATAAACATCTGTTCTTATTCATTGATCCTGCTTTTGTTTTCACATCAACAGACTGCAATTTCTTCTCTAAAAAACCAAACACAGAGGAAAAACCTAATACCAAGTAACTCCTAGGTAAACTTTTTTTCATAAAACATAACTGCTAAGCCTGGTAAACATTTTACTTACCTGCTTTGTCTTCATCGTCAGAATCGGAATCAAAATATATGTCATCATAGTACTTTGTCAGAGCTGTTCCAGCTTTCCCATTTCCTGAGGAAGACCCTGTTCAAACCACAAGGGAATTTTACACACTAAACCATATATAATTGATAAGGAAAAATCTTCATTTATTCTTCCATCACCTCAAAGTAATTTTAACTGATTCCCAATCACATTCAGATGGGAAAATACTTCCATATCAATAACTTATTGGACTGGTTCCCTGTGCAATAACAGAGATCTGCCCCTACTTGTTTAAATGTTCCGAGTTATGCCCTGGCTAGTGTGGCTCAATTGGCTAGAGCATTGAACCCAAAAGGTTGCGGGTTCAATTCCCGGTCAGGGCACATGCCTAGGTTGTGAGCTCAATCCCTGGTCAGGGAGCGTACAGGCACATATAAGAGGCAATGATTGATGCTTCTCTCTTGCATCAATGTTTCTCTCTTTCCCTTCCTCTCTCTACAAAAAGCAATGAAAAAATGTCCTCAAGTATTTAAAAAAACAATATTACAAAACATGACATTATCTTTCTCTCCCTTCCCACAAATCTAATTAAATAAAATAGCCATATTTTCAGATCACCAATATACATATCTCTTTGAGACATGCCATATACTGTGGAGAATGTGGAATAAACATCTTGTTTTAAAGGGACTTTAGGGGAAAGCAGGTAAGAGCTCCACAGAGAGGCAGAATGACTCAAGAACTCATTTGTGCCCAACGCCATGATATTACCTATACTTATGTCATATGCCTGCATCCCTAATTTTTCCTCTTAATTAAAACCCACTTTTGCACCCTGGCTGGTGTGGCTCAGTGGGTTGAGCAGACTACAGACTAAAAGATCAGCAGTTAGATTCCCAGTCAGGGTACATGTCAAGGTTGCAACCCAGGTCCCCACTCAGAGGCATGCGAGAGGCAACTGATCAATGTTTCTCTCATAACGTTGATTTTTTTGTTTGTTTGTTTAAATATTTATTTATTTTTAAAGAAAGGGAGGGAGAGAGAGAGAGAGAGAAACATCAATGCGTGATTGCCTCTTGCGCACCCCCAGCTGGGGACCTGGACCACAACACAGGCATGTACCCTGACCAGGAATCGAACTGGCAACCCCTTGGTCCACTGGCCAGTGCCCAACCCACTGAGCCACAACAGCCAGGACACAACATTGATGTTTATCTCCGCCTTTCTTCCTCCCTCTCCCTCTCTCTAAAAAATAAAAATAAATAAAACCTTTTTTAAAAAATCTACTTTTGCTTTTATTATTATCATACATGGTTTGATTCTTAACAATTCATACATAGCATATCAACACGGAAACCAATGCTAAGGAGTCCTACTATCACGAACCAGTTTCCAAGTCAAGTATATTTTACATAAAGAGCAAGTATCAAAATGAAGTATGTTTCATTACTTACTAAAACAAAGCAAGAATTTATGCAGACACAGCATTCAACCTGCCATATCAGTGCTACATAACCCTAAAAATACTTCTATAAGACTATCTTTTTTTGTTGTTATTGTTAATCCTGGGGTAAAAATTACAAAAGGAAATCATATAAGTAAGCAGTACTAAATAATCTTCAACAACACAGGAAATTCCTTCACTAGTCATCAAAGGAAAGTATGCTCAGGTTGCCCAATACATTTATTCATTCACTCAGTGTTTGTTGAATACCCACTGAAGGTGCTGGGGACCCAAAGAGCACAAATATGGTTCTTGCCCAGATGGAGCTTAGTTTACCTGTATCCAGGGAGGATAATTTGCCCTCCATTGTTTTTATAGTGGAATTTAATTCAGCTTCCATTTCTTTTTCAAATTCATCTTCGCTAGATGATTCACTTTCTCCAGTAAGACATTCTCTGATGAGTTTTCGTTTTTGGTCAGGAGTTCCATGTAAAAGCACATCCACTTCATCTTCAGAACTAATATATATTTGAAGCATAAAGAATATGAACATTAAATAATTAAAATAACATATAACCCCCTTCATCTCACTGCCCCAAAATTTTAAGTTTTATAAGGTTGCATTAAATTTATCTGGCATATTAGAGAGCTATTCTCACTTAGATGAATCATTTCTGCATATTTCCAAATATACCTTTTTAATATCTGTATAAACATCTTCTTGTAAATGTACATTTATTTCTAGCTCTTTGATATTAAATACAATGAACATCTCTGTACATGTAAATTTTTTGTTTATTTCCTCAGACTAAATGTCTAAAATTAGATACAAGCCTCTTTCTGACTTCCTGAATTACCACACTTCTTTCCAGAAGTATTTCACCAATTTATAATTCCATCAGCGATGAAAAGTTTACTCCACAGAACTAGGAGTTTTTTAAAACTCTGGACACTTAAATAAAACCTAAAAATATATTGTTGGGAGCCATCCTGCCTGGTTTCAGGGACTGTAGCCTCATTAATGGACAATAAGGGTCCCATAGCTAGAGCTGAGTGAAAAGGACTTGGGAACATGAGCCACTAAGGAGACAGAACATTTCCTCCTGGCAGGAGCACAGCCCCTGCCTCACTTCCCCCTGCTAGGCCTGGGTAGATGACAGGTTAGCCAATGACCAGTAAGACCCCAATGGGGGTGACCTAAGACAGGCACAGTCGCAATGAGCCATCAGGGAAGGACTTAGGGGTCTTCAGAGAAGGGACTGACTCTCACCCCTTGGCTTTGTCATAATCTGAGTCCTCAGTCTTTCTTTAAAAGTCTCTTAGCCCTGGCTGGTGTAGCTCAGTGGATTGAGCGCAGGCCTGGGAATCAAGCAACCATGGTTCGATTCCCAGTCGGGGCACATGCCTAGGTTGCAGGCCAGTTCCCAGCAGGGGACACACAAGAGGCAACCATACACTGATATTTCTCTCCCTCTCTCTTTCCCTTCCCCTCTAAAGATAAATAAATAAAATCTTAAAAAATATATATATATATATATATATATGTATATAAACATAGATTTCTTTAAAAAAAAAAGTCTTTTAGCTGCTTTGCTCTCCCTGCCCAACTCAACCTGGGAACAGGGCCAGAGGCAGCTGTGACCTTGTACTGGAACGGATGGCTCCATGGGCAAATCTGACCAGAGAAAGAATATACATTGTTTCTTTGAGGTTTGCTCTGCCCTGTTGCTATGAAACAGACTTGAGCTAAAGCCAACCCTGACCTGAGACAATCCCTGTGTTTCTTCAGCTATTATCTGTAAATGATGTCAGTAGCATTTTGGGCACTGGTTGATGAGCTTTATGTGCATACTATGTATCTCTGTGTGAGCTGAACTCAATAAAAACACAGGGAAGATGATGTTCTGGACCTTTCTCCTTTAAGGAACTGGTCACCTTTGCTCCCCAAGCAGATCACATTCTCATTCTTATTCACAACAACCTGGAAGAACTCTGCTGGCAGAGCACTCCCCATCAAAATATAACTACTATATCGCTAATACAGCCACATAAAATGTTAACAGGTAGTAATTAAACATTACGATTTAAAAGGCACAGTGCTACAAAGAACTATAAAGAAAAAGCTAAATTATATTCCCAATTCTCCAGAGCAATTTCTGCCAATTTATTTGGCTTGCTGTGCCTGGTTTCCTCATCAACAGCCTTATGACAAAATTACACCAAATATCAGCAGGAATATCTGAAATGCCTAAGACATTTCTAATACAATCAATAGTACACAAGTAATGCTCAATTACTCATGGTCTGATAAATAGTTACAGACTACTCCTGGTTTTAGATTCCCTATTTTTGTCTTCTATAAACTCCAGCAGAAGGGGAATCAGAAAAACCCAATTCACAACAATCAATTTTGCTAATGATAGAGGCTTCTACTCCCAAGAAATTTCCCATACAACATCCTGACAAGCACACTTCCTCTTTCTTCATCATCACTATACTTACTCAGGTCCTCTTAAATTTACACCATATTCTAAGGATCTTCAAGCCTCCAAACTCTTCTTTTTCATTCCACCCTTAACCCTGCTGCCAGAACATTATTCCTTAAAAAACTCTCATCTCACCACTACCCTGCTCTGAAAGAAAATGTCCATGGCCAAACCTCTGAGCACAACATTCAGAAGAGCTTTCTACAGTCTAGTTTTAGCTTATCCTTTCAACCTTGAACTACCTCAGCGGTCTTCAACATAGGGCAATTCTGCCCCCCAGGAATCATTTAGCATACCTAGATACATTTATGACTGTCACAACTGAAGTCTGGAGGAGGAGCTACTGGCATCTACAGCCTACAATGCACAGGACAGCCCCCCTCAACAGAGAAATATCTGATGTAAGATGTCAATGCTGCAGAGGTTGAGAAACTCTCTGATCTATTCCAGTGTTTCTGAAGTGTGGGATGTAGGAGATTATTTTAAGGACTAGCAGAATAGATAACAGCCCATTAAATAACAGTGAAGCTATTATACTGGAAATGTAAATTGGTACTATGGAAAACAGCTTGGCAGTTCCTTAAAATAAAACTAACAGGCAGCCCTGGCTGGTGTAGCCCAGTGGATTGAGCACAGGCCTGTGAACCAAAGGATAGCAGTTCAGTTCCCAGTCAGGGCACATGCCTGGGTTGCAGGCCAGTTCCAGCAGGGGACCCACAAGAGGCAACCATACATTGATATTTCTCTCTTTCTCTCCTTCCCTTCCCCTCTAAATAAATTTTTTTAAATCTTTAAAAAAAAAAAAAAAAAACTAGCATGCAATTACCATACAACCTACCAATTGATATCCTGGGCATTTATCCCAGAGAAATAAAAATGTATATGTAGCCCTGATTGGTGCAGCTGAGTGGATTGAGTCCAGGCTAGGAACCAAAGGGTCACCAGTTCGATTCCCAGTCAGGACACATGCCTGGGTTGCAGGCCAGATCCCCAGTGGGGGGCACATGAGAGGCAACCACACACTGACCATTCTCCACCTCTCTTTCTCCTTCCCTTCCCTTCTCTCTAAAAATAAATAAATAAAATCTTAAAAAAAAAAAAAACCACGTATATGTATACAACTATACATGAATGTTTAAAGCAGTTTTATTCACAATAGTAAAAAATGGAAACAACCAGATGTTTTTCAATGAGTGAATGGTTAAATGCAAAATATCGCTCAGCAATAAAAAAAGAAGTGAACTACTGATATATAGGACAATGGGGATATACTCCCAGAGAACTATGCTGAGTGAAAAAAGCCAATCCCTTTCCCTGGCTGGTGTGGCTCAGTGAATGGACTGCTGGCCTATGAACTAAAGGATCGTGGGTTCAATCCCTAGTCAGGGCACATGCCTGGGTTGCAAGCCAGGTCCCAAGTAGGAGGCGCGTGTGAGGCAACCACAAATTGATGTTTCTCTCCCTCCCTTCCTCACTAAAAATAAATAAATAAGCCCTGACTGGTATGGCTCAGGGAATTGAGTATTGTTCTGCAAACTAAAAATAAGTAATTTTTTTTAAAAAGCCAATCCCAAAAAGTTATAAACCACAGGATTCCAGTTACCGATTTCTGAATATGACAAAATTATAGAAATGGAGAATAGACTAGTGGTTATCAGAGGTTAAGTAGAGTATGCGGGCAGGAAGAGGGGAATATGAAGGATCCTTGTGCTGATGAAATGTTCTGTAACCCGATTGTATTAATGCCAATATCCCAGTTGTGATATCATACTAGTTTTTCAATATGTTAACACTGGAGGAAACTGAGTAAAGGGACACAAGCTGTTTTCTTTTTTCTTTAAGATTTTATTTTTATATTTTTAGAGAGGGGAGGAGAGGGAGAGAGGGAGAGAAACATTGACAGGTGAGAGATACACCAATCAGTTGTCTCTCATTTGTCCCCAATTAGGAACCTGGCCAGCAACCCAGGCATGTGCCCTGACTGGAAATTGAACCGGCAACCTTTCAGTTCACAGGCTAGCACTCAAATCCACTAAGCCACACCAGCCAGGGCCCTGTGTACTATTTCTTACAACTGCATGTGAATCGATGTCAAAATTTTTAAAAATAATTTAAAAAAATTAAAACACAAAGAGAGTTACTCATTTCTCAAATTTTCTTCTTGTGATTATTTCTAAAAAGTCTCAGCACTTAGCACTGCAGGGAAGGAAAATATATCATAGGCCCTGTATATTCTTGTTGAGTTCACCAAGGATGCAAGGTTCTCAACACTCTTTACCTAGGCCACTTCTCAGGGTTGTGTGCAGCATAAAACCTTGATGGATGAGGTAATGTCATTATCCAGAACAAAGATCAGGCTTATCTACTGCCTGCTGCAACAGAGGTGGATTCTCCAAGCTCAAGTGGTGCGTTAACCCACTGAATGTGTAGCATCCATCTGGGTCTCTCTCTGTGTAACCAACTATAGAAGTTGGGAAGAGGGATCAATAATGCTCCTGCTACCTGTACTGTGAGTTCTCTGTAATCTGGGAGTCTCAGATCTTCTACCAGCTTCCATAAAGCAGTAACAGGCTATAAAGTATTAGCATATTAAGTGGGGTAAAATCAAATCCTAACAGACACCCCTTACCTCTCTACAATCAATCCCCTCTTTATTTTTAATATTTTTATTTATTTATTTTTAGACAGAGGGGAAAGGAGAGAGAAAGAGAGGGAGAGAAACATCAATGTGTGGTTGCCTCTTGTGCTCCCCACACTGGGGAACCAGGCTTGCAACCCAGGCATGTGCCCTGACTGGGAATCGAACCAGCAACCCTCTGCTTCACAGTCCAGTGCTCAATCCACGGAGCCACACCAGCCAGGGCTCAATCCCCTTTTTAAAACAACAAGCACTGGATTCAGGTTGGCCAGGCAAGCTGTCCTAAAGGATTGTTTTGTTTTTACAGTATTCATTTTTTATTATGTTACCACTGACAACTTCAAAGGATTATAAAGCTTTCTTTAAGACATTTAACTACAACCCTGACCAGTACCACTGAGCTGGTTGGGTGTTGGCCAGCAAAGCCAAGGGTCACCAGTTTGATTCCCAAGCAGGGTGCATGCCTGGGTTGCAAGCATGGTCCCCAGTTGGGGCACATGCAACAGGCAATGGACAGATGTGGCTCTTACGTATCATTATTTCTCTCCTTTCCCCCCCCCCACCTTCTCCTTGCTCTAAAAATAATAAACAAAGACTTTAAAAAAAGATACTTAACTATAAAAATGTAAACCAAGTTAAAGAAAAAGATTAAATAACACATGAATATGGTGATAGTAATGGCAGAATATAAATCAAGCCCAGGATACACTCCTATATTCCAATCAAATCAAATTACTAATTACAAATAAACCAAATTACTAATCTAAACCTACATATACCTTTCCCAAACCTGACTCATTAACTGAAACTCTCAGTTAATGAGAGTTTCTCAGGGACTCTTAGAAGCCATCTTCACTCCCCACAACAGAAATCTGCTCTGCAACCTGATCTCCTATGCCTAGAACTCCTCCCCAGGATAATGCAAGGAAATACTGTGATTGAACGTAGGACAGTTTTACAGAAAGCTCAATCGGATGGAATGTTAACGTTTATAAGTAGGATCTGCTGACGGCTTTAAAAATGGCTAAATGTGACTACAAACCTCTTGTCAACATAATTGCAAGTTTCTCTCAGGTAGGATTAAGCCCTTCCTTTTGGAAATTCCCACGGAACTTCACCTGTGCGTATCTCGGATCACCGTTTTCTACAATGCTTCAGAGATGCATTCGTATTTCCAAGATATACACCTTCCGAGGTATATATCTTATTTCCCCAACTATTCTAGAAGCCTAAAGAAGACAAAAACTTTATGACTGACTTCTTTGGCCCAGAGCAAGCATAGAAAAGGTGCTCAAAAAAGTCTGTTTGAAGGCTGACCAGAGGGGAAAGGGGAGGGAATTTCAGGGGAAAAGGGGAAGGATTTACAGGAAAAAGTATAAAGGACACATGGACAGCAACTGGGGGGGTGGAAATGGGAGGGAGGTGGGGAGGGCTGGGGGGGTGGGCTGAGATGGGAGTACAAGACAGAAGACTGTACTTGAACAATTAAATAAAAAAAGAAAGGATTTTTAAAAACGTCTGTTAAATATCCCCTTATTTCTGTTTATGGCATATTAGTCTTCTAGATCGTCACTTCACACCAAGCCCCATGAGTCTTACAACATACTTATGATAGTTATTGTATCTCCTGTTGAGAGGTGAGAAACCGAGGATAAGCGACTTGCCTTGGGTTACACTCAGTAAGCTGCAGAGGCAGGATTCGGTCACACGGCTTTGGAAGACTCGCGTGTGATTCCAGAACAGCCCCCTTCCCCGCGCCGGTGTGGGCCCCGCCTCCCCCGTCGCTGCAAAACCTCACCGAGACTCCCCTTGGCGTCCCATAGGCGACAGCGGGGCGCCACGGAGGCCGGAACCGCTGGGCCTAGGGTCCGCGCAGGCCGGGTAAGCTCAGCGAAGGGAGAAGACTGAGACCAGGCCGCGGCCGGAAGCCTCGGGGGCGGGGGCGCGCAGGGGCCCACCTGCTCAAAGCCGGCTCCTCATCGCTAGGCTCTTCAACTGTGTAGGGGTCATAGTCATCCTGGAGCCGGTTCATGGTGGCCTGAAAACTCAGACGCCGTCCACGGGCGTCCCCCACAGGATCTATTTCCACCGCAGGTCCCTCCACTAAAGCGTTACGACCTCCTCTTCCGCTTGCACTTCCACGTCCCGCCCCTGCGCGCCTGCGCAGACCGTGGCGGGGGGCGGGGAGTCGGGTTGTATTTACACACAGACCGCAGTTGTTTCTTCTTGCCTGAAACTAGGTACTTCCACACTGGATATAATCATCGAAACCTCCTTAAGTGGGGTCTGTGAGCTGAACAATCCACGTGCAGTGTCTCATTTTGTGACGTAAAAAGCAGAAATCTAGGAGGTGAGGGACATGCAGCCAGTGGGTTCTCAAACGCGGGCACCCGACCGTCCCTCCAACCTCGCCTCAAGCCATTGTAGCTTCTTTTCACTTTGAAGCTTCTTTTCACCGCGCGGCCGCCTCGCCTTCACAGTATTCACTCCTCAGTCTTACAGCGGCCCTGACTTTTTGCCAAAAAGTTGCTGTCACCAGTTACTTCCGAATTACCTGTTTTGACCTCTTTCTTCTCAGTCTCAACCTTTGCTCAGCCCTTATCCAATTCCACTCGATACTTGCGCTGAGCCAGATGACAGCCTCATGATTGTGACACCATCTCTCCCCTGTTTCTCTACCGGCCTCTTCTCAAGTTCCTCGTTGCAGACAACTCTCTCCTCTTCATGATCCCACTGAAATAACTACCCTGTCTTATCTGGCCCTTGCCCTCTCTTCGCTACTGTGTCAGATTTCCAGTAGCCTGGGCTAGATATCTCCGGCTGCCGCACCCCTGGCAATTCAAAGTCAATACAGTGAGCATCTTCCACCTCATTCCATCCTATGGATGGAGTCACTTCCTCCATCCTTACAACTGCAATATGCCAAAAGTCTTGGACTCTTGGTTGACTCCTTTGTGCCTCTGTATGCCCTCTCTTTCCAACTCCTGTAGATCTTTTAGCAACGCCTCTCTCATCCACATCTCATCTTCCTACCCCTCACTTTATTGACACAGGCTCCTATTGACAGCCTTGTTTTGCTTTTGCTCCTTCTCTGATCCATGTTTCTCTCTACTGGCACAGTGACCCTCTTCCAACACAGCTTTGCTACGGATGATTTTCTTCCTGAAATGCCCTAATATTTCATGTTTACTTGCTGATCTGTTCACATTATCCTGTAGTGTTCTCACCCCACTACAGTATGGTTCAACCCATCATGCCAAACTGATTTCCCTTCACATATCCAGCATAATTTGCTAATTCAAAAATATGTATTATGCCGTCCACCACTAGTATTTGCTTATGCTGTTCCCTGGAGCACTTTCTCCCACTTTTAACTCAAAATCTATCTGCAAGTAATGGTTGTTACCCAGACAGAATAAATCTTTAGGACACCTTTCAGCCATGAGATATTGTACTTATGGGAATTCACATTGTACCTTTTCTATGATGCCTTTTTAGCTTCCCCCTCTACATGAAATCTTTCTCTTGGAACTCATGTAGAATAATGTACCACTCACATGTCATGTATTTCTCAGGTTTTCAACTATTGTTCCACCCAGCTCTTTTGAGAAGCACAATACTCTCCCATGAGTCACAATGATGTGAAGGAAACCCTTGTCAGGGAACCCGTTTTCCCTTTTCAGGGAATCACAGCCGTCCTCAGGGATATGCCCTTATATCCATGTTCATTCTATCCCACAAAAGTAGGAACATTACTTACTTTCCTACAATTAAAATTAAGAGAGATTCCAGGGAGTGGCTGTGGTCTTAGGAGTTGTAACAGGACATGTAAATTCAAAGTCTGAAGCTGCCATTTGGGGGTGGCTGTTTGAGGGTTCTATGTACTAATGGTGAGCAACAAAGAAAAGCAGAAGTATCTAGCAGACAGGAGAAGTCCAGAGGCTTTCCCTGACACCGTCAAAAGTTTAACTCTTCAACTCCAACCCCTTCTCTCCAACCCATCTCCTCTATCCATTAATCCATACTTCATCCCTTACTTCTGTCTCCCTGTTCCATACCTGTATTGCTGCACAAACACTACCCCCAAAATTAAGAACTTTGAGACAAAAACAATGATCTCTTTTGATCACAAATCTCCAATTTAGACAAGGATTACTCTACTCCAAATGTCTTGGATCTAAGTTTGGGTCTGAAACCACTGAGAACTAAGCTGAACACCTTTCTGAAAAATATTCAAC